TTTTTCAAACTTTTTACATTACAATACATTGCAATTACAATACATTATTTTTACATTACATTGATATAATTTAAGAAATATTTAAATGAAGGAAAGAAAAAAATATTGTATTGAGTTAAAATTTTCATCGTTTACAATATTTAATGTATTGTAAAAATAATTTAAATTCGTAATTATTTTCGCTTGTTAATCTTTTCTTTTCTTTTCTTTTTTTAAAAAATAAATTACGTTTGAATCGAGGATATAGTAAAACAGGCATTATTAACTATCGTTAGCAAATATCAAAAGAATTATATTAAACATTATATTAATTAATTAGATATAAAATATATTTATTAATTAATATAATTTTTAATGTATACTAAACATTATATTAATTAATTAAATAAAAGTATATTAAATATTATATTAAATAAATTGTTTTAATACTGTCAATATTTCTATAACGTGATAATTATTATACTTGATATTAAAGTTAGAATTCGTTAAAAATATTTTAGATATCGGATTCGATTAGGGTAATGAAATATTATAAAACGAATATTATTAATAGATACATTTTATTTTTCTTTTCATAATTTTGTTCATTCATCCTTCGGATTTTCTAAAAGCAAAAGATTTATGGATCGTCGAAATACATACACGATGTATTATATGAATGGAATTTCGAACGTATGTCAAAACTTTTCATTACGTCTTTCAAAGAATTCCTATCTCTGACAGATTTTTTGATAAGTTTATTCTTTCAAATTCTGTACAGTACAATAAGCGAATTATTTATTATATACATATATATATATATATATATATATATATATATTAGTATCGAATTTAATTAAATAAATAATATTACTTTTGAATTATCATATACCAAAAGTCAATCGAATTTATTTCTGTTAACATTATTTTCCCAGTTTTGATGACAAATTGACTGAAAATCGTCTTAACATACTCAAGTTCTCATATTCGTCGTTATTTCACTACAGTAACTACGAGTGGGTGTGCATGTGTGTATATGTACTTGGCAGCAAAGTGATGAATTGCTGGTTTAACGTTGGCTTATATATAGTAACCGTAATATCAACTTTATGCGATACCTTTTCGAGAAACTTGTATGATTGTATATACAAGCTTTAATCATTAAAATCTCCTTAACGCGGCGATAATCGATAATAACGTGCGATAATGATATTTTCTTTTTTTTCTTTTTTTTTCTTTTTTTTTTTTTTCATTATTATTATTATTATTTCACTTCGTTCGAATTATAATGATTTTTAATTAATCATTTTTAATTAATTCGTTAATCTTAAATACATTGTTACGAAATTGCTATATAAATGATAAAGTTTTGTATTAATATACGCATAATATAAATATATGCATGATGTACATGTACGATGTACAAGAAAATTGAAAAAGAAAAAAGAAAAAAGAAACATGATTGAATATAGTTAAATATATATTATTATAATTATACATAATTAAATATATTGAATATACTTTATCATTGATAATATTTAATCGTATATGTAATTATTGAATACGTTTTAAGGGAGAATGAAATCAGCTAAAAAAAAAAAGAAAAAAAAAAGAAGAAAAAAGAAAAGAACAGAAAAAAATAGAAAAAAGAAGAAAAGAAAAGAAAAAAAAGGAGAAAGAAAGAAGATTACGATAATATTCGCTTTAATATTTATCATCAAATCAAATTTGTATTTTTATTAAATAAAAACCGTAATATATTAGGTGGAAAAGTAATGTCGCTTTCTTAAATTAAATTCAAACGAATAAATTTTTAACAAGTTTTTATTTTTAATCGCAATCAAATATCGACATGCGCAAAAACTACATTACTTTCCGGTCCACCCTAATATATTTCTTATGATAATCGAACAATTGATTGACATGATGATTCGACTTAAAGTCTTCTGAATATTGAAATATTTTTAATATTTAAAAGCTATTCAAAGATTTTCATTGTTTTAATTAATATCATCGGGAAATATCAAATCGAAATCGTTCGGATTCTAGAACGATGATGGTTGTTAATCGAATTGTCAGTTAAAAACGACGAAGAGCCGACAACGACGTGGTTCATTATATAATCAATTTTTGCCAATTTCCTTTGATTAAAACGAACGCTCAATATTCAGATGAATGATTTAATCAATTTTCAATAAGCTTAATATACACGTTTTACCATATTTCCTCTGAATAGTTCCTATTCTTTTATTTTTTTTTTTTTGTTCTTCTTGCGTTCTTCTTTCATTTCTTTTCTATTTCTTTTCTTCCTTCTTTTTCATATTCTCGTTTTCGATTTTTTGCCGATTAAATAATTGAAATAAACACGAATAAACGCGCATTGTGTTACATTCGATTATGTGAAAATAATCGACGTTAATCGTTTAAAGACCATTTGGCTTTCTAAGAGATTGATATAGGTCAGTATGTCAATAGCTATGTCGATAACTCGTTTCGTTGTATATTTCAAAGAAATATCTTCGAACACTGTACGTTTAAAAGTCTTTAAAAACTAAATCGATGCGCATAACGTGCGAAGAATCTACTCGACGATTCCTTTTTTTCTCCTTCCTTCCTTTTCCTTTTTCTTCTTTTCTGATTTTTTTGTTTATTTTTTCTCTCTCTTTTTCTTTTTCTTTTTTTTTTTCGTCCATCATCGATACATTTTTCAAGGAATTATAAAATATTTAGGTTAGTGTGTCAACTCCTTCAAAGGGTTACCTTTAGCTGAATGATATTATAAAAAAACGAGCGATATTTGATGCGAATAAATTCAAATTAAATAATAAAACAAATTACGACGATTTATCGATTAATTTAGCGATAAATTAATTGGCAGGATTTTATTGTCCTCCTAAAAAAAAAAAAACAAAAAAAAAGAAAAGAGAAAAAAAAATACAAGAGAAAAAAGGATCAACCCGAATCAATCTTTCAATTTTTAATTTGATTTTTGATAAAAGAAAAAAGAAAAAAATTAATTAGCACCTTTTGATAATAAAAACAATTCAAGGCGTCTATTTTGAAAATTAATTAATTATACTCGTATATATATATATATATATTTTCATTCTTGTTACGAAAGAATAAGTTCAGGATAACACATATGTTATATTGTATATTATTATTATTAACAATTCGATGTCGATTGACGTAGTTGTAGTTATATCCTTTTTTAAAGAAGAACTAGAGTAATAAAAAAAAAAAAAAAAGAAAAAAAAGAAAAGACATAGAGAAATATTCGTTATCCTTTAATTATCGTTCAAATATTTTCAGAATATCATAATTCGTACATTTCCAAATCTTTCTCAAACATGTTTAGAACACGTAGAAACATTGTTATCACATTGTTACACTTATTCCCCTTATCGGTTATCTTGTTTGCTGTGGATTAATTGAAACGGTGCACTTAATCGAAAGAAAATAACCCTTATTTATATTGTAAAATAATCGGTTTTGTCCTTGAAATATCACACTGACATTTAATTATACTGAACGAAGATAAATTTAGTCATTTCTTTTTTTTTTTCTTTTTTTTTTTTAATTATAACCTTCCATTTTGACTATGCAATCGAACATAAGGAAAAGAAAAAAGAAAAACAACGAAGAAGAAGATATTTATTTTATCCCAAATAAAATTAGAAATAAAAAAAAAAAAAAAAGAGAAAAAAAAAGAAAAAAAAAACTCATCGAATTTTATCATCGAACTTTATCATATTAAACATGGACCTTGAAAAGAATCATTCTTTCTATCATTCGTTCGAAAAAATTTTATCTATACTTTTTAATTTTAAACTAATAATCCACAATTCATTTTATGCACTCTAGAGAATAGGTTCTCTAGATGTTTTTTTCCCATCGGCAAAGTATTAACGTTAAATATGCTTTTCTCTTCGTTAACAATTTCTCTCTCTCTCTCTCTCTCTCTTTCTCTCTGGAAAGAAAACGGTCGGTATAAAACGCGTCTAATAATGGCTATCTGTCGATGTAACGTATAAAACGGTTATCGCGGTTTTCTTTGCAATCTTTTTTTAGAACCTTTATCCTAGACCAATACCTTCTTTTCCGTATAAGGGTTGCATCTTACGGTTCGGTGATCCGGCAAAGGAAAGGTTGCATCTGTTGGTTTTAGCTCAACGTTATACAATTCTTAAATTCCCTGTTCTTTTTATCCTTATTTTTTCTTTTCTTCTTCTTCTTCTTCTTCTTCTTTTTTTCTTTCTCTTTCTATCTATCTCGTCCCATTCTATTCAAATATTCAGAAGGTTATCAGATATCTTTTCTTCGCCCCCTTTTCTACGTCCACGTTCTTCTATTCAGCACGAACGATTTTATTAACATTTTTGGAATATTCGTAACCTCCTTTTTCTTTTTCTTTTTTTTTTTTTCTTTTCTTTTTATTCGTCGAGTTTTCGCAAATGACACGATAGTAAATCGCGAAATATGTAAATTCAAAGAATAGGACCGTTATCGTGTTGTTGCATTAATATCGCGATCATTCGTATTAGAACATTGTTGGCTTCGTATTTGGATCGTTGTATACTGATACGATACGCCGTCATTCGATGGTGATAACGCACGGAGCATGTTTAGTTCATAATAATGATATGAGCTCTACCGTTTTCGAATAAATGGAAAATGTTCCCGTAGAACGGTTAACCACAAGGTATGCTTAGTTAATTATACTTCGTTAATTATGACATCGTATACGTGTAATGAGTTAATTACATCCTGGTGAGAGAGAGAGAGAGAGAGAGAGATAGAGAGAGAGAATAATATTCATAGAAAATTATAGTAATTACTTATCCGATTTCAACTTTTACGTTGAAAATGAATGAAAAAGAAAGAAAGAAAAATAATACAAAAAGCTTTTTTGTCCTTATAAGATAATTGAAGTAATGAATAATTATTTAAAGGCAACATTGTCACACGTTTAAATCTTTTTAATTGGTCGAGATCTAATTGAAATCTTTCCTTATTCACAGCACTGCTTCGCGATATCATACAGAAGGGAGAATCAACGACAATACGAGTTGAAAGCTGCCACAGAAACGGACTGCAAAACGTGGATCGATGCGATACGAGAAGCCAGGTAACGGAATCACTGGGGATATCGTATATGACGGCAGAATTCTAAATGAGAATCATTAAAAGGGAGTGGGAATAAATTATGGAAATTTCGTGCCAGCCCGATTCCCGAATCATTATATTTTTAACTTTGACATTATACGTTGTAGCATTCGTTTAAGATACGCGATTGACTATAGTATGAGATCAAAATTATTGTATAGGTATTTTTGTTTCTGTTTCGAGCAATAGTAATCATTAAAAACAAAATTGGAAATAAATTATGGAAATTTCTCATGCCACATTGATTCTTGAATTAACTATACTAATTTTTAACTTTGAGGTTATGTATTATAGTATTCGTTGAAGTTTCGTGATTGACTATAGTATGACGGGAAATTATTGTATAGGTTTTTTGTTTCTATTTCGAGCAATAGTAATCATTAAAAAAAAAATTGGAAATAAATTATGGAAATTTCGTGCCACCCCAATTCCCGAATCATTATATTTTTAACTTTGACATTATACGTTGTAGCATTCGTTTAAGATACGCGATTGACTATAGTATGAGATCAAAATTATTGTATAGGTATTTTTGTTTCTGTTTCGAGCAATAGTAATCATTAAAAACAAAATTGGAAATAAATTATGGAAATTTCTCATGCTACATTGATTCTTGAATTAACTATACTAATTTTTAACTTTGAGGTTATGTATTATAGTATTCGTTGAAGTTTCGTGATTGACTATAGTATGAGATCAAAATTATTGTATAGGTATTTTTGTTTCTGTTTCGAGCAATAGTAATCATTAAAAAAAAAATTGGAAATAAATTGGAAAATTGGAAATTTCTCATGCCACATCGATTTTTAAATTAACTATACCAATTTTTAACTTTGAGGTTATATATTATAGTATTCGTAATTGACTATAATATGAACTGAAATTATTATATAGGTTTTTCGTTTTTATTTCGAGCAATAGTAATCATTAAAAAGAATTGGGAATAAAGCATGGAAATTTTTCGTGTTCACTCGATTCCTGAATCACTATATGTCTGACTATAATATCGTATATTGTACTATTTACACAAGAATGGACTATAATGCAATCTCATATAGATCTAACAAAAATGAAATCTTCGAAATTATTGATTATTTAATAGTAATGAAACGTAACATATGTCGAGGTTAAGTAAACGAGTTTAAAACGATAAATGAATTGAAATATTTTAAATGATCAATTAAATATCATATTGAATTTGATTGAGTTTAGATTTTCGAGTGTTTTAAATTCTTTTAATTTCTTTTTTTTTTCTTTTGTATTTTTTTTTTTTTTGTCGAAAAATAATAAGAATAACGATTGAAGAAGTAACGAATGTGCTTGAAAATTTTTTAGATTATAACAAATATGATATATACACAAACTCTTCTCTACAGAGAAGAGAAATACGTTACAACGATCTAGCGAATAAACAAGTAGCCCATTTTTTTTTTGTTTCATATGCATATACAAGTAGTCTTTGGACGTTTATGATATTTGTTTTCCTATACGGGTCTATTTACAAAGCTATCACAATGGCAACACAATAGGCTCGAATAAAGCTTGCCATTTTCACCGTCCGTAAACACACGAGTATATACTACTTATCCGATCAGATACTTACATTTCTTTCAATGGGGTAATTCTTGGAGAGTTACTCTCAAGTATTGATTTTCTCTCTCTCTCTCTCTCTCTCTCTCTCTTTCTCTTTCTCTCTCTCTCTTTATCTGTATCTCTATATATCTCTCGTGAAAATCGTATAATTTGAATAAATATTCATTGGAAATTTTCTGATTATCTCATATGCCGATGCTTCAGAATAGCTTACAAAATAATCGGGTTGAACGATTGAGAATTACAAGATATATTACAAGTTTCATAGAATGTTAACATACTGCAAATAAATCACACGATATTTGTTCTCCAAGCGTGTATATTTGTGTGTGTGTGTCTATTTGTATAATACATTTTACGTCAATTATTAGTAAAAATTTTTATTACTTTTTAATAGCAGCATAAAAACTTCCTGTTCATATCGAACGTATCGAATAGTTTCGGAACTAGTACATTCAAAAAATCCATCTAAAATTTACAAATTCGATTAAAAATTTCTTTTATATATATATATAAATAAAATTGGATATTTTTAATTACGTGATCCTTTAAACATAGTTAAAACATTAAATCAGAAAGTAAATGTTTGGACGTTTTAATCAAAATTGGAAAAAGGAGAAACGAAATTACTCGATGAAATTTCTTTTATTTTATTTTGTTTTGTTTTGTTTCGTTGAGAAAAAGTTTTTGCAAATTGCAACATATCCTGATAAAAATTATATATATTATATATATATACATATATATATATATATATATTTA